AAAAAAAAAAAAAAAAAAAAAAACCAAATGTAATAAAAATAGTGTGCTTTAGTCACTGATACTAGAGAAGAAAACAGTGATATCCACTTCACCAAGAATCACTCACACAATCTGGTTGTGTGTTCCAATTATATTCAGTTACATTTATGTTCCAGTTACATTTATGTAACTCAGTTTGTAAAAAAATTTGTCCAGGTGTCCTTTCTGAAGGTAATGTTGCAGAATACAGATAAACTAATAATAAACCATACAGCATTTTGCATAATAGGTTTTAAACTTTTTCTGCTGAGGATTCAAAAGAATTCTGAGAAACTATGTAACTCCTTGAATATTTAAAATTAACATTTAAAAGTTAAGTTTAAATAACCACAAAGGATATAATTTCCAGTGTAAATATCAACATTTTAACATCTTATTTATTGTTATATAAATGTTTCTTAGAAAGCATCTATTCTTGTTTAATGGAGAGAAAGTCATCTTTTACATCTCTGAGGAAATTGATAGTTTTTGGGGGGGGAAGTGGAAGAGGTAATCTCTTCTCCTTGCATTGTGTCTATTTCTCCCAGTGCCTTTTCTTTTCTGTTTTGGTCTCTCTCATTTCTATCAGACTTCCTCTCCAATATCTAGTGATCCAGAGATAATCTGTCTTACTCAGACTAAGCGAGGGACCAATAAGCTGTCTGGAAGCTTTCAGCATATAGATGAGCTTATTGTTTTTGAACTGTACAGTCATCTAGGTGGAATTCCTGATTTCACTCTCTTTGGGTCTTTCCTCTTGGGGTGGTAAGATTCCTCAGAGAAGACTCTTCCAATCTCCTGCAGGAAGAGTAAGGTTGGGTTGCTAGTACTTCGGGAACCAAATGAAAAGAGAGGGCTGGAGAAATCTCCATTCATGATTGAGTAAGCACACAGTCACCCAATCCCCATTTTGAGTAAGATATCCACGTCCTAGACATAACTTAGGGTCACCCAGTCCAGAGATATTTATATTTGTTTTCCCTTCTCTAGAGAACAAAATGCCAGTCAACTGCCAGGTTAGGGATGGGGCAGTCATCCAGTGGCACAGGGTAGGGGAACAGCTTTTCAAACAGGTCTTTCCATTTTACTCCTCCCTCCCTCCCTCACTTCCACACCCCCTGAGATAAATAATACTGCCAATTCCTGAGACTTTTGAGGACTGTGTGGTATAAATCAGGTTGGTTTTCATTTCCCACTGCCAACTGATTTAGCTTTGGGGGTCTGCTAAATCCATTATCACTTCTCCATCTGCTCTCTGGCTTTTAAAATGTTATTGCTATTGTCTCCTTCCTCTCTGTTATCCCCACCCTTATAACTTCATGCTTTAAAAAAATTCCTTTATTATAATTTTAGTAGAGTTTAAAGAGGGAGCAAAAATCTGTCATCTTCACCTGAAATCCACATAGCCATCTAATAAGAGGATTTTCAATCTGTCAAAAGCCTTTAGAAACTAAAGATGCATTGGTATATTTTTAACCAGTTGCATGTAACCCTTTATGAGAATGAACAAAAAGGAAAAAGAAACCATCTTCTTTGGTTAATTTTAAGCTGATAACGAAAAGTACATTCTGTTAGAGGGTTTAAAATTTATAATCAGTAGTTCTTCAGCTACTAAAATCCAGGATAAACCTTATGGAATGATCTATATTCATAGCCAAGTATATTCATTACATAGTGAGAGCTATTTAAAAATGTACACAAAGTGTTTCAGAGTAGATAAACTATAAGGTTTACACTGATAATCCCAAACTGTAAAGTGATGGGAAAATATCACCTCTTCACTGAATATTCCCCAGATTACAGAGCTATTCCAATTTGATGGTGTTCTTCTCTACTGTCACTTCATGTCTTAATTCATACTGGCACTTCACTGTCCCATCACTGTTTCTAAAAACAATTTTTAACACTATTCTTTGCTGCCTCTGTTTATATCAAAACCTTTTTTCTCCTCTCTTTTTCTCTTTTATTACTTCTTTGAGTATTATTCCTTTCCTTGACATTTCTCAAGTTTTGATATGAAAAGGATATAACTTCTCTCTCTTCTGGAAGGTGAACTTATCAATAATATGAAGCAACCACTCTTTCATTTTTTCATTTAATAGACAAGTATTGAGTACCTATCATAGGCCAGGTCCTATTCTAGGCATTAGGCATAAAAAAATGAACAAAACAAAGCCCCTGCTCTTATACAGCTTGCATTCTAGTCGGGGTAACAGACAATAAATAAGTAAGTCAGGTGGAGTTGGGTGTTATAAAGAAAAACAAGGATAGGGGTATAGACAATAACGGGGTACGATTGGGACATGTTAGCTATATGAGGTAATCAGAGAAGGCTTCTCTTAAAAGGGGACTTTTGAACACAGACATAAGAATATTTTTGGCATGAGTATCCCAAAGAGGAAATAAAAAGTACAAAGCCCATGGGGAATGAAGCACGCCTTGCCAGCTGAAGAAACAACAAAGAGACAGTGGGGTGGGAAGAAAATAAACTTTGTTTATTTCTGAATGTCTATTACTTTTGCCACAGTTTACTTTTCATGAGATTTTTTTGTCTTTTTTTTTTGTGTGTGTGTCCGGCAACGGATCGCAACCCTCAGTGTCACGCCCGTAACTGAATGTCTATTACTTTTGCCACAGTTTACTTTTCATGAGATTTTTTTGTCTTTTTTTTTTTTGTGTGTGTCCGGCAACGGATCGCAACCCTCAGTGTCACGCCCGTAAGGGACCAGGACCGGCAACGGGATCGCAACCCTCGGTGTTGCGTCCGCACCTCGCTCAGCCAGTGAGCGGGAACCGGTCTGTATGTGGGATCTGAACCCTCGGCGGGAGCGCCACCGCGCTCCCAAGTGGCGCACTGTAGCAGTGCGCCACTGGGCCGGCCCTTTTCATGAGATTTTAATATGGATAAGTGGGAAATGTTACTGAATAAGGTAATAATTTGCTATAATAAGCATTTTGGCTGAACATAGGCTTGTAAACTAATTATAGATATATTCCTAGTTTTGAGACAAAGAAGGTGGTACAAGGGAGCCAGACTTGGTTTTGAGCCCTGGCTCTACACTTACTTGCTATAAGTGATCTTGAGTCAGAGTTGTAGGTGTTAGTACATATATGCCCCTCAAATGAGAACAAGAGGGTTCTTGTTTCATTTTATAATATAAAAGAAGCATAATGGTTATGGGGAAAGAATACTGGATTGGGAGCCAGAAATCCTGAGTTAAACACTTTTGCTGCCACTTATTAAATCTGTGCCCTTGGACAAGTCACTTAAAAGCCTCATTTTCCTTATCTGTAAAAAGAAAATAAAAATAGCCACTTCATAACATTATAAAGATTAAAGTACATCACAATCTATGCAGGGGAAAGCAATTTGTATACTATAAATTAATTTAAAATGCATACACATTTTCAAACTATTCATAGAGCTTTCAAATTAATATTTTATTAAGGTTATATTTTCATCTAAGTGTTTTCAAAATTTAATTTTACCTTTTTTTTTTTTTTTTGTCTTTTTCCATGTCCGGCAACGGATCGCAACCCTCAGTGTCGCCCCCGTACTGGACCGGGACTGGCTACGGGATCGCAACCCTCGGTGTTGCCCCCGCGCCTCGCTCAGCCAGTGAGCGGGAACCGGTCTGTATGTGGGATCCGAACCCTCGGCGGGAGCGCCGCCACACTTCCCAAGCGGCACACTAGCGCAGTGCGCCACCGGGCCGGCCCCTAATTTTACCTTTTGATTTACCTATTCCTCTGTACTTATGAGTTGCATGCAAAATTTATTCTTCAGTTTCCCATGTTAGCCTATGATAAATTCTATAAAATAACTAGATTTTAAATTACATGACAAAATTCAATAGATATGAATAACAACTTGAAATCCTCAAAAGGGATCAGAATGCAGATTTATTTTAACTTTATTAACTGACCATTTTGCAAAAAAAAATACAGGTACTTAAAGAAAATTATTTGAAAGGATAACTACTTAATCACTTTGTATACTTCAACTGTTAATGACTTTTTGGTGGGTTTTTTTTGGTGCCTATTTTTGTTTTCTGAACTTCTATTGCTTAGCTAGGTCACTGAGTGTTAAACATAAATTCACAGTCATATATTTATCATCAAACACTTGATATACTTGATATATGTTCTGAAGACTGTATTAGAAAGACTATTTTATTTTTTAGTATTATATTGCTAGCCATTATTTAAAGTGTTCTAATGTTGCTGGACAGTAATATAAAATGCAATCCAAAAGAATATCAGTTAAAGCCTTTAAAACACCTTCAACAGTCTTCAAAAGTAATATACAAGAGATGTAACAGAATGGAACTTACTCCATGCCCTGTGCAGTCTGCCGTGCAATATCTATAAGTTTGATCATCTCAAATTTGGTCTCAATGATGTGGAGATGGTGATATAAGCTGGAGCCCTCACACCACTGGGTAACAATAGCCAGTTGTGGCTTTGTGGAATAGCCCATAAAGAGTAGGATATTCACATGTCGTGTTTTCCTAAAAAAAAAGAAATGTGACAGTAAATAGTAAATGTTGACAAACTTTAGTAATTCTTAAAAAAGAAAGGCAAAGCAGTTTACCTATCAGTAAGATGCTGTCAGAAAAAGGTATTTTTTTTAAAAAAGGCAATAGAAGAATAAATTTAGAAGACACTGGGAATTTCTCCCACCCTCTTCAGAAATATCTTTTTAAAAATAGCTGACAGGCAACAAGAAGTTGCTTAAATACCTTCAATTACGGGAAGTTGACCACTGAGAATGTAGCTGCCTCCCAACTCTTTGTTTAAATGGTTCTAGTATTAGAAAGTTTTCCTGTGTTGAGACAAAACCATTTTCCTACAATTTCAACCACTGGCTTCCCTCTTCTGCTCTTTGGAATAAAACAGAGTAGCTTTGTACCTTCTGAACATAACAGCCTTCTCTGGTCTAAATATACTCAGTTCTGTTGGCTATTTTCCCCTAAATTATAGTTCTAAATCTTCCCCATTTAGGTTATCCTCCCCCGGACATACTCTAGTTTGTCAATGTTCCTCAAGTTCCAGGGCCTAGGACTAAATACAATCTATAAATGTGTTCTGATAAGCTTAGAATTTTGAGAGTATTATTTCCATAAGTGGAACTATTATTTTACATGATCAAAATACTATATTTCCATTAATTCAGTCTAAATAATACTATATTTCCACTAATTTAGTCTATCAATTGTACCATATAATACTGCATACCACTTAAAAGAATACAGTTAAAGACAAAAAATACTCAGACATACTCTGTTTCTACATTTTTATCCATTTTGAGTAAATCTTTAAAGCTAATAGTAGCTACCACTGAACAATAGGAGCTAATGAAAACAACCTTTTTCCTCTGGAAAACAGTAACTCACACAAGCTCACCTGAGTACTCCTACTTCATTTTTGAAGGCCTGTAACTGCTGAGGTGTGGGTGCTGTCACATTCAACATTTTTACTGCCACATCACCTAAAAGGTAATTGTCATTCGAAATGTCATTCCAATATTTTAAATTTAAAAATATAAAACATTCTTGTGTGTTTTCACTAATTATCATAGCCCTAAATCCATAACATTATTAAATTACAAATAAATTGCACCATAACTATCTAAACTGCATTAATCTTCTAAGGATAAAAACTAACTGAATATTGAAACTACAGATGACAGGCCCAATGGAGCTTGGCTTAAAAGAGAAAATCATAATATCAGAGTAGTTAATATTTTTTTTCAAATCTATGGATTACTTATGATGTTTTGGGTGAGAAAAATGATTAAAACTGTAACTATAATTAAAAAAAAAATTCAGTGTGAAACAGCTATAACTCTCATGCACTGCCAGTGTATATAAATTGGTACAACCATTTTGGAACACTGTTGGCATTATCTACTAAAGCTGGACATATGCATATCCTGTGGTCCCATACTTCTCTCCTACGATTACATCCAGAAAAAATGGATATACATGTTCACCAAAAGATATATACTAAGAATATTCATAGCACCACCATTCATAATAGTCCCAAAGTGGAAACTATCCAAATGCTCATCACATAGTAGACAGAAGAAGAAACCATGTTATAGTCACACAATGGAATACTATACAGTGAAGGATTTACTACTACATACAACAGTACAGATGGATCTTATGAACAATGTTGAATGAAAGAGGCCAGACACAAAAGAGTACACACTATATGATTTCTGTTGAGGTCATGATGATGGTTACCCTTGGGAGAAGAAGACTGACTGGAAGAGGTTATGACAGGGACTTCTAGAGTGCTAGTTATGCTCTATTTATTGATCACTGACGTGTTCACTTTGTGAGATTTCAGTTACTCGTACACTTATGTGAACTTTATATATTTACTAAACTTTAATAAAAAGTTAAATAAACTTACTGATTTTTCCTAATTGTCAAAGTAATACAGTTGCTCATTGTATCAGCTCTAAGATATAATACTGCATAACATTTACAAAAAAAAAGTTTAAAAAATTCCCATAATCATGTCACTCTGCAATGACCATTATTATATTGATGCATACCCTATTAGGCTTTTCTATGTATGCAGTGTGAAAATTTATGAATATATATGAAAAGATAACCTAAACAGATATATACTAAAATACTGATAGTCATTTTAAAATTATGTTATATATGTTTCTATACAGCTCTATAGTATGGGGTATTATACATGCTGCTTTGTAAAATTTAATATACCAAAGACACCTTTCCATGTCAATAAATGTAGCTCTGCTATACCATTTTAACTCCTATATAATCATATATGGAGGTATCTTATCTATCCAATCCTCTATTACTGGGCATTTAAGTTTATTTTCATTTTTATTAGTATTAAATCTCTAATGGATATACTTTCACATACATCTGTTTGTTCCTGTCTAATTACTTCCTCAGGATAAAGTCCTGTCAGTTTAATATACATATTACCAAATTGCCCTCCAGAAAGTTTGTAGTATTTTGTTATCCCACCAGGAGCATTATAATAACCAGTCTAAATTTAATCAATTTAAAAAATCTTTGTCCATTTGGGAGGCAAATAATGATTTCTATGTTTTGAATTTGCAATTCTTTGATAACTAGTGACGCTGAACATTTTTTATACGTTTATTGGCCACTTATATTTCTTCCTTGGATAAATACACTTTCAATATGTTTACTTGTGGTTTATTTACTAATTTATATTATTATTATTGATTATACATATTCATGGGGCAAGAGCTGACCATCAGTGCCTGTGCCCAATTGTGGTGAGAAAATCAATACTATCAGCATACTCACCACCTCACATTGCAGTTATTTCCCTGTGTCTCCTACCCTCTCCCCAATTCTCCTTTCCCTCCCCTCTTCCCCCTACCCGGCAACCCTAGGGCTGTTCTCTCCCTCTGAAGTTCAATACACTTGTGATTTATAATACAAATAAAATTATCTGCAGAAAGATTTCTAAAAGAAAAAAATCATTTTAAGGACTAGTTACCCTGGAGGATCCTCATCTTTAAAAATTATTACTGTAATATAATGATAGGAGTTGTGGTTACTGTGAACCCAGTTTTTATTTCCCATAATTTTTGTTAGAAACCTTTGGAGGACTTCTGCACCTGATCAAAATAGCTTAATGATGCAAATAGTGAACACTCCCTTTGATTTTTTAAGTAAAAGTTGTTAAACATCTCCTATTATTATGACTTGTAACAATGTCACCACATTACATACATACCATGCCACTTTCCCTTGTAGACTGTTCCAAATGACCCAGATCCAATTCTCTGTCCCACTGTAATTTGCCCATCAGGAATTTCCCAGTCATCACTTGAATCTCGTCTACCAAGTGTTTTCTTGATAAAAATAGTGCAAAAGTCAAGCCAAACCAAACAAAAAAGGAAAACCTTATGTTTCATGGTAAGTACATTACCCTATGCCTCAGAGGAACATAAGTTAAGAAGAGAATAAGTTCTCTTCAAAAAAAAAAAAAAAAAAAAAAATACACACTCTGAATGGAAAATAGTTAAAAGCATGACTCCTAAAATACAAAACGAATTTAAGATGGAAGTCAGTATTAGGATGGAAAAAATTTACTTAAAAGAAAAATTTATTTATTGGGTATAAGAAGAAATGTATATTACTAAAGTAAATAAAATAAAAATTTTTTATCATTAGGAGGACTATCAAGGGCAACATATGTATTATGTACTACGTAATTGTGACTAGTTTTGGCTCCAATTCCCCCCAAATTTAAGTTAACATATTACGGTAACTGCTGACAACTTATCTAGATACTCTCTTCATCACTGCTAAATTTCCTCATATCTTATCTGATCCAGTCTCTTAAAAAAAAAAAATCAACACATACAATTATTTTCATAGGGTAAAGGACCCACCTATCCAACAAATACTACTACTAAAATTACTAGTTTTTAATACAGATTCATTTGCAGCAGAAAAGTTAATTGTTCAAATAGGGAAGAATGTCATTTGGTAGATATTTGAATTTTGGACCAGCCTTTAGAAAAATACTTAATCATGCTTTCTAAATACTAGTTTACTCTCTTTATTCTTATTTTAGAAACAGAACACTTGTTACTCTTCTAAAACTGGCTTTTACTCAATTATATCAGAGACAAGAGCAAAAATCAGTGTTATGGGAATATGCTTTAAGCAAAATACTATCAGCTCTTAAATTTATTTGATTATGGGAATTCTGTGTCATATATGGACATAATATATCTAAAAGGTGATATTACATTTGGCTATACTTCTAAAAAGAAAGAACTTAAAAAAAATAAAAGATATCATATACTGTTACCATTCGATTTCTGTCTTCTGATGATGAGGATGACTTTCTTTCCCGCTGAGGTCCTGGAGATTTCTGTAAGGCTTTCACATTAGTAAGTGAGCCAGGTAATGAGGCAGGGGGTGTGGCAGACAAACCTGTAGTTGATCCTAAATTAGTGAAAGGAAACATGTATCCAGTAAGCATGTTAATTTATCAGGGGGCAGAAAATTGGGGTGGGATTTAGACATTTTAAAAATGGAGTGCATGTTCAAATACAGACCTTTTAGAAAGGATAGGCCAAAAGAGGGACTTATTGATTAGTGGTACAATTTCTTTTAGTTTTCTGGCCAATTTAATGACTTTTAAGACATCTGGTGATACATACATACTTTCTCTACTTATGCAAAGTCTAAAAGAAAAACAATCTCCCTCAAACAAGAAACAAAAACTAAAAAATACCCCTAAGGCTTTTTTTCTTTGATTAAAAAAAAAAAATCAAAAAGAAAAACCAATTTAAAAGCCTATACGAGGGTACTTCAAAAAGTTCATGGAAAGAAGATTCATATTATCTTTTAATTCCATTTTCCACAAACTTTTTGAAGTACCTTTGTATAACATACTTTTAATCATTTTACATTACCTCAACAGCTAATCAATATTAAAAAAGATAGAAACCCCCAAATGGAAACATTTTCTAATAATGCCTTTAATGTAGAAAATATCTGGATCTTTCATATTCACCACTACATTTAAGTACAATCCCAAACTACATGCTCTGCTATCTAAGAGATATTGGCCAGTGTCATTGGTTCCTGAAGCTTATTCTACTAAATGAAGATTATCTGTTACCTGCATAACAAAGTTAATGTAAACAAAACCAAGCAGGTTTCTCAAAACTTTCTGAAATATCTCTGCTTTTGTAAGTGAGAACAAAGTAAACACCATGTCTGTTCCCAGTTAAGTTACTACAAATGCAAATATTCCATAAGCCAAATGAGTCTGAGAGGTACACTCTTTGGAAGTGGGCTCAGTTGGCAGAGTTGCATACCTTTCTGATGGGTGCTCTTCTAAATGCCGACTCACTGGCAAACATCCTAAGTTCACGTACAGTATAAGGCCTTGGTTCAGAGGGGTTCAGAGAAGTGACTCCTAAGTGGGGCCTAAGTACAGCTGAGTAGGACTGAGATGTCTAGGTAATATTTCCATACACAGAACAAAAATACCTCAAGAAAATGTTTTGTTTTGTTTTGTTTTAAATGATTACTACTCTCAGGGGAGAAAAAGGTCCACTATCTTTCAAAGAACAAGGATACTAACGACAACATTTAAATGTTAAATCTGCATAGAAATTTTATCATACTATATCACTATATCACCATGTGGAATTTCCATGATCTCATATGCAATTTTCTAAAGGCAAATGGCATCTGGAATGTCTATTAACTAGAGCACAATCCATTTTCTACCTTCCGTAGATAATTTTCAACACTATAAAGGCTTAAGTGCTTGACTAGGCTTTGCAGTTCTGATCTACTCAGTACCATACTGTATTACTGAGTTTAATTATACTACTCAGTACTGTATGACTTCCATCCCATTGTAGGGATTTTCTGAGAAACAGCTGGGCTGAGACAGCAAAAATGTGAAGTACCATTACTACATTCAGTATAAGTAACAGACACTAACTAGCATGAGTCAGTAAATATAATTCTTTTAAAATATTTGTGGCGAGATACCTGTCCCAATTTTGACTTAAATTTTAAAAAAGCAATTAAAAGTCACTAAAGTATGGCAAGATAAAATGGAAGAGTGAAATTACACTGCTAACTTTTTCCTCATATTAGGGCATAATTAAAAGTATAAATCCTCAAATTTTCTGAAGTATACTGAAATATCCATAATATCTTACAAACCTTTTTTTTTTTTTTTTTTTTAATTTTTTTTTTTTTTTTTTGTTTTTTTTTTTTTTTTTTTTTTTTTCGCTGA